CCCGTCCCCTGGGCCTCCCAGCGCCTAGAAACTCAGTCTGCAGTCGCAATAACACAATTATAATGGGAGAACTTAATACCCCACTGTCACAAGTATGTAGATCAACCAGACAACAAATCAATGAAGAAATATCGGAACTGAAGCAAACCTGTGAATGAGTGGACTTAATAGATCTTTACAGAGTGTCCCACCTAACAACATCAAAATACACATTCTTCTTGGCTGCACATGGAATGTTCTCTAAAATAGACCATATACTGGCCCATAGAATATGCTTAAGTAACTGCAAAAGAATTGAAATTATCTCATGTATATTATGACAACAATGCAATGAAATTGGAAATTAATGGCAAAAGAAACCACAGAAACTCCATAAACACATGGAAATTAACTAACACCCTCCCGAACAACCAATGGGTCACAAATGAAATTAAAGAAGAAATTAAACAATATCTACAATCAAAGAAAAATGCAGATACCACTTACCAGAAGCTGCGGGATGAAATGAAAGCAGTACTAAGAGGGGAATTTATAGCAGTGAATTCTCACGTTTGGAAAACAGAATGAACACAAATGAACAACCTAATGTTGTATCACCAGCTTCTAGAAAAAAAAAGGAGCAGGTCAACCCTAAAGCCCATACAATGGAGGAAATTATAAAGCTCACATCAGAAATTAATATGATTGAGACTAAGAAAACAATACAGAGAATTAATAAATCAAAGAATGGGTTCCTTGGAAGAATAAATAAAATAGACAAACTCTTGGTCAGTCTTATTGAAACAAGAAAAGAAAAGACTCAAATGCATGCAAAGAGGAATGAAAAGGGTGCAATCACTACAGACATTGTGGAAGTTCAGAAGATCATCAATACCTACTTCAAAAATCTTTACTCTAATAGATAGAAAACACAGAAGGAATGGGCACATTTCTAGATAAGTATGAATTGCCAAAGTTGAATCAAGAAGATGTAGAATTTCTGAATAAACCAATATCAGACAATGAAATTGAAAATGTAATTAAAAATGTACCAACAAAGAAATGCCAAAGTCCTTATGGATTCACATCTGAGTTCTACAAGAAATTTAGACAGGATTTCATACCAATATTCTTCAAACACTTTAATGAAAGTGAAAGGGAAGCAATACTCCCTAACTAATTTCTGGAGGCAAGTATTACCCTGATACCAAAACCAGAGAAAGACCCAACCACAAAAGGGAACTACAGGCCAGCTCCCTAATGAACATAGATGCAAAAATCTTCAATAAGATACTAGCAAACACAATGCAGCCAATCATCAATTAGATTATACACCATGACCAAGTGGGATTCATCCCAGGAATGCAGGGATGGTTCAACATACTCAAATCAATAAATGTGATGCACCATATCAAAAGAACCAAAGACAAAAATCTTTTGATCATCTCAAAAGATTCAGAAAAAGCTTTTAATAAAGTCCAACACTCCTTCATGATAAAAGCCCTACAGAAAATTGGAATAGACAGTCTTTATCTCAATCTGATAAAAGCCCTCTATGACAAACCAACACCATCATACTAAATGGACAAAATTTGAAAGTTTTTACTTTAAACTAAGGAACAAGAAAGGATGTCCACTACCACCACTCCTATGCAATATAGTTCTGGAAACATTATTCAAAGCAATTAGACAACAGAGAGAAATAAAAGGAATAAGGGTAGAAAAGTAAGAAGTTAAACTATCATTATGTGCTGATGACATGATACGCTACATAAAAGACCCCACAAACTCCACCAAAGAGATTTAATAATCAAATTCAATAGTGTAGCTGGATAACAATTCAACACACAAAAATTAATAGCATGCCCGAACACAAACAACAAAATCACTGAGAGAGAATTTAGGGAAACCACACCCTTCATAATAGCATCCTCCCACAAAATGAAATACTTAGGAATCAGTCTAACAAAGGAAGTAAAGGATCTATATACTGAAAATTACAGTACTCTGAAAAAGAAGATATCAGAAAATAGAAATATATCCCTTGCTCATGGATAGGAAGAGGTAACATAGTGACAATGGCCATACTCACAAAATTGTTATAAGACTTAATGCAATCCCAATCAAAATACCATTTGCATACCTCACAGAACTAGAGAAAACATTCCTAAAATTCATGTGCAAACATAAGAGTCCTACAATAGCAAAGGCTATCCTGGGAAACAAAGACGAGGCAAGAGGCATCACAATCACTGACTTGAAATTATACTACAAAGCTCCTGTGATAAAATCAGCATGGTGCTGGCAATAAGACAGACCTGAGGACCAGTGGAACAGATTGGAAGATGGAGCCACAACTACAAACACACTCAGTCACCTTATCTTTGACAAAGAAGTTGAACATGTTCACTGATAGAAAGATAGCCTCTTTAATACATGATCCTGGCAAAAACGGGCTCTCTACATGCTGAAGACTAAAACTAGACCTATGTCTATCACTGTGTACTAAGCTAAAGTCAGAATAGATCAAAGATCTAAATATTAAAACAGAAATACTAAATCTACTGGAAGAGGAAGTAAGTAGAAATTTTGAAGACATAGATGTAGGCAGAGACTTCATGAACAAAATCCAAACTGCCTGGGAAATATTACAAAGAATCAACAAATGGGATCTCATCTTATTAAAATGCTTTTGCACAGCAAAAGAAGTCACCAGCAGAGTGAAAAGACAACTCACAGAGCAGGCAAATTTGTAGCCAATTTTTCCTCAGACAAAGGACTTCTATCTAGAGTATATAAAGAATTGAAAAAAATGAGACCCTCAAATTCAAATCCCCAATCCAAAAATGGGCATCTGAGATGAATACACACTTCTCAGATGAGGAGATACAAATGGGAAATAAATATATGAAAAAATGTTCAACATCACTTGTCATTCAAGAGAGTTAAAAAACACTGAGATTCCGTCTCACCCCAGAAAGAATAGCTATCATCAAGAAATCAATAAATAAAAATGCTGGTGGGACTGTGGGGAAAAAGAAACAGTTCTCCACTGTTTGTGGGAGTGTAGACTGGTACAATCACTGTGGAAATCAGTGTGAGGATTCCTCAGTATCTAGGAATAGAGGTCCCATTCGACCCAGCTATTTCCTTTCTGGGTATCTTCCGACAGGAATTAAAAACATCATACCACAGCGATATGTGTGAACCCATGTTTATAGCAGTACAGTTTGTAATAGCTGAATCTTGGAAACAGTCCATATGCCCATCAACCAAGGAATGGGTAAAAAAATGTGGGTTTTTTTTTTTTTATATAATAGTATACTACTCATCCATAAAGAAGAATAAACTGGAGACTCATAGGTAAAATGGATGCAACTTGAGAATATACTCATAAGTGAAATAAATGAGACTCACAAGTGTAAACATTGTATTGTCTCCTTGGTGTGAGAAACTGAAAGAATAAATAAGTTCTGAAATGTACAACAGATATTGTGAAATGGGAAGAAATTGTTCCAAAGGAAAAATGAACTAGGATGGGTGAAAGGGGAAAGAACAGTATGGAAAAGGTAAAAAATGAGAGTCAGTTAAACTATTAGTGTCTCTTTTCATGAACACTAAGTTCATTAAAAAGGAAGGTTTGTGGTGATATCAATTGGAGAACATTTTATGCCCATATCTTGTACCCTGAACAACTACTTTAAAGATAGCAACATATAATGTATTAACTGTTATGCTCCTATTATTTTGTTATGAAATTTTGTTTTAACTTTTTTCCATAAAATACAAAAAAGAAATGATGTGCACACCCTTTATACCTCCATAGAAAGGAATGATGTTAGACCGTTACCTGAGATTATTCATGAAAATTAACTCATAATGAGTGACAGATCCAAACATAAAAGCAGAAAATGTGTAAGAGCTATGAGATAATACAGGCAATCCTTCATGACGTGGATGTGGCAAAGTAAAGGAACAGCAAAAGAAGTCACCAGCAGAGTGAAAGAAGATGGAGCCACAACTACAAACACACATTCTTATAGGTAAATATTGAAAGCAATATATGTGTATATATGGAAAATAATTTGGACTTCATGAAACTTGAAAACAACTGTGCTTCAAAAGACTATCTCAAGAAGGTGAAAAAGCACACATAATGAAAGTGCACAAATTGCTTATCTGAGAAAAGATTTGTATTGTAAATACATAAAGTACCCTTAAAGTTCTGTAATAAAAATGGAGACCAATTTTAAAAATGAGCAAATGATTTGAATAAGATGAACAGAAGGACAGTAGCACACGCAAAGATGATCAACATCACTAGGTGTAAGGGAAATGCACATCAACACCACCTCAACAGGCCACTTCACACCCAACTGGATGGCTAGATTCAAAAATTGAGGTAGCAATTGCTGGAAAACCCTTACCATCCTGCTGGTAACAAACCATGGCCCGGCCACCTTGCAAAAGCAGCCTAAATGTTTCTGGTCCCAAAGCAATTCACAGCAAATAAACAGGGGCTCCTTCCCCATGGTAGCACTTGGGAAAACATTCTATTGGTTCCATGAAGGCAGGTGTCACTGAGTGGAACACTGTCATTCCTGCAGAACTTGTCTGAGCCCACAGGATACTGAATACACGTACCAGTGTCAGGCCCAATGATCCAGGTGTCGTTCATTGCCAGGCACTTTACATGCTTCTTTCAGCCTGATTTGAGAATTGGAAAGGACAGAGCCTTAGGTGGCCCTGGTCTGAGGGAGCTGGGACCTCACTATCGAGCAAGATGGAGACTAGCGCCATAGCCATTTGGCCATTTGATTAAAATAACCTCTGAATGCTAAAGTAGCAAGATCATTCTGACACATTTGCATAGTGAATATTTAGCCCACAGTGTCTAAAAGAGAAAAGGCAACTCAGGCAATGAAAGCACAAAGTAACTCTGGAGTGTGCAGTAAAGGAAAGAAGGAGAGAAACGGCGGTGTGATTGCCTGAGTGTGTGGAAGAAAACAATTGTTCATGAATGTTTTCAATAATGACTTTATTCTGCACTTACAATGGTCCATAAATGGTCAGCTGGGATACTGGCAATGTCTCAAGGGGACAACAGAGCATAAAACTGATCTGAGGAAAGGGAAGGCTAACAGACTCCTCCAAGGAGAGGTGCCCTAGTCAGTGTATTGCTGGTTATAATGAAGGTAGAAATCAGGAAAAATGCTGATGCCATCAAACGTACACTCCCATCTAGTTCATACTCAATTGGAGTATCCTCAGATATGTCCCTCTCTACATTAGTAGGTCCTCCTAGATTGCAACGCATGCCACTGCAACAATGAGTAAAGTAGAAACTATTAGTTTTCAGGGCTTGTCTTGGGGTTTCAGCTGGCTGCAAGGCTGCGTATACAAATGTGCAATTCCAAGTACAATTCTTGAAAACGAGTAGTTCACGAGGGCTCACACCTAAAAGGGAAACAAGAAAGTTATTGATTTCACATCTCCTACTTGTGAACACCATAGCACCTTCAACCAAAGCTAGTTCCATACATATGTTCTGTATTTCCAAATGTTACAAAAGTACATTGCCTAGAACCGTTGACTGGGGAGCATATCCACGTCCACAGGATGGTGTAAATGCTCCAAGAGCAACTTCTAATGATATGTTTCTATCCATACAGCCATCTTTTAAAAAAATTATTTTAAAGAAAAAGAAACAAGGAACAAACAAAAAATAAAATTCCAAAACAACATGATAGGAGGGTAATAATGGTTAATATGCTGTGTAGTGGTATCTTTAAATTAGTTACTCAGAGTATGGGATATCAGCATTTAACTGTCCAAACAATATGAGCACAGACTAACATTTTCAATGAACTGACAAAACTTAGTAGTATAACTATTTTAAATCTCACTCTCTACATATTTTCTTTTTCCTTTTGCTTTTCTCTCCTTTTTTTCATTTTCCCAAACCAGTTTCTCTTTCCTTTTGAAGATTTTCCCATTTGCCAGTATCTATTGTACATTCTGGATCTTATTTACTTGTTCAGTTTCTCACACTGAGAGACAATATGATGTTTACACATAGGGGACTGATTTCACTTATGAGTATGGTCTCAAGTTGTATTCATTTACCTATAAGAGTCTCCAATTTATCCTTCTTTATGGCTGAATAGCACTCCATTATATAAAAAACCACATCTTTTTATCCATTCCTCAGTTGATGGGCATTTGGGTTGTTGCCCAGATTTAGTTATTACAAATTGTGGTGCTACAAACATGAATGCACATATGTCACTGTGGTACGATGTTTTTAATTCTTCTGAGAAGATACCCAGAAGGGGAATAGCTGGGTCAAATAGGACCTCCAATCCTAGTTTTTTGAGGAATCTCCACACTGATTTCCACAGTGGTTTATACAGCCATCTTTAATCTGCCACTAGCTATTCCAAAGTGGTATTTGGTACCTTGTTATGAAGCTGTGTGCTCAGGAGGCTGAGGTAGGAGGATTGTTGTGAGTTTGAGACCAGCCTGGGCTACAAAGTGAGCTCAAGGCCAGCCTGAACTACACAGTGAGACCCTGTCTCAGAAAGACAAAAAA